ACAAGCGCCGGTCCTGTCTCTACCTGTATCTCATCCCTGATGAGGATTGATACACCTCCACCACGACAGGTGCGAGCTATCCCATAATGTTGGATCCCAGGGAGTCCAAAACTAGCAGCCTCAGGGGGGGGCATTTTTTTTCCCACTCAGTAAGCAGGACGTGATATTATCACCGTAGAGCTGTTTACCCAAGGCTAGGCGTTTGGCCTGTGTTAGCCCAGCTGAGTTCCATTGCATGCACCTCAATGTGGGACCGGGATTCTCTTCCGCATTTCCACTAAGCAGTAACTTGGTGCTGATGATACTGCTGATGGCGCGGTGAAATGTAACCCAAGATTGAAAAGGATAGTACTGTGTCCCAGCAAGGCGCGGCGGGTCCTGGTACTGTGTGATGCCGCAAACCTGGCGCCATAAAGTTTTCCGAATTTCCTGATTTTTTTAGGCCTGGCCCCTATGAATGCCAGCGAACTTATTTGGGCACACCGCCCGATCCCCATATTGAAGCTACAGTTTTCCCCTTCATAGGTTTTCGCGCTGTAATGGGCATACCGAGCCCTGCCCCACGCACCGCCCGGAGCCGTCGTTGCAGATGACCTTGGCGACGCCAAGCTCTAACATACACCAGGCAAGTTGGCCGGTACCTCGGCCGGAAAAGTTCTACACCGCCCGGGCGTCCGCACAATGAGCGGAAGACGGGCGGTTCTGCCGGGTGGGGGGTGAAACCTGTCGCAGCAGCCGGGATTTATCCAGACGGGGGAGCCATTTCTCAATTGGAGGCGGGCACGGGCCCAATGGCGTCTTGCTGCCGGGCCGCATCTATCGTGTTTTAAGGGGGCCTGCAGAAATTGCTGGACACCTTTCGCCGCCGCAACGCTCAATCGTCCGGGGTCTCTGTCTTCAAGTTTCCCGACCACTTCCCATGGCACTCCAAGGGCGCCCCTTAACTCTAACAGGCCCGATATTACGTTACCCATGGGGCCTGCCATTGGACTTTCGCGTCGCTAAGCACATATATGGCTTCAATTTGCATTCAGCCATTGCCGCGTTGCAAAGAAATGCGCATGCAATAAAGAAACCAAGACGACCTCTTATTCACCACGCCGCAAGGGGACGCGGATGCCGGATGTGGTTGCGTTGGCAAAACGCCACCCACAGAGCCAGCATGCCAAGCCATTCCCCAACCGCTCCAGCACTATTGGAGACCGACTCTTTGCGTGAAATGGTTCCAGCTCAACCCAGAAAGAGGAAGTGGCACTTGCTCGCTTTCGCGCTGGAGCGTTGCACCTCTAAGACTGGCAACTGCAGGTGTTGAAGCCCAGCGCGCTAAACACACGCAAACGGCGTGAGCCAATAGGCCCCCCCCCCCCCAAAAAAAAAANAAAAAAAAAAAGGCCCACATGGAAAAGCCTTTGGGCAGCCAAGAGCCAGCGCCGCTGCATTACTGCGTTCCAGTTGGCTGCCCGGTTTGCCAACCTTGTTTCAGCTGTCTAGCAAGCGTTGTGGCCCATATGGCTTAAAAAACATGGATCTGCGCTGGGCTGTGCCCTATGGCAAACCAAGCGCCTGGCGGCCGCAGGGCCGCCGGGCATCCAGCCAGAATCCCGCCCCCAGGCCCGAGGCCCAAATTTACAGCACCGGCCATGAAAAGACCCAAACACGATTTCAAAGAAGCGATGAAGAGAATTCATTGCCATTTGTGCGCGGCGTCGTATAAGTCACAAAGGGGCCAAAACGGCACTTCAACTGCCCCCGCCATCGGCATTGCCCAAATGCAGAACGTAAAGCCCCATGGGGGGCTAAAGATTCACTTTTTCAATGCCCTTGCTGTGGGCCCAGGGCCCTAGGTAAGGTGAGGCGACTCCCACATCCATGTCAAGCATTGTTCCTCACAAGAACCGTCGCGCGAAGCGGAACCGCATCCCCAACCATGTTCCACGATATGCTAGAAAGCTGTCGATAATGCTGGGGTAATGGGGCCCACATGGGATTCAAGCATCCTTTTGAACTGACAAAACCAACGCGAGAACCAGACATAGCTTCCCGAAGGCCCCCAAAGCGAGAGAGGGAAAGCCCACCGCTTTACACGCTGCCGCAATAAAGTCAAAAAATGCGCTAAAGCGTTACGTCGCCTTCCAAAGTCTAGGTGAGAAGAGGCGCCCCCCACAACACAAGCGCCAATAGAAGGCGAGGGGAAAGACCCACCGCCACAAACGAAGCTGGGGAAAAAATAACGCAAGGCGCGTTTAAAAACTCCGGGGTGGGGGGCGCTTTCCGTATGGGTGGCGGGTGCGCTCTGCGATGGTGGCGTTTGGGGCGGGGCAGGCGGCAGCAGCCGGAACGCAAGGGGGGAAAAGAAAAAAAGCGGGGGCGCGAACGGCACCCCAGCATGGCCCAAAGGGGGGGGGCATGAAGAAAAAGCGCATCCCAGCCGGTTTCTTCTGCGGCTGGCGTGTGGGGGGCAGTGCTTTCATGTGTTCGGCCTTCCCCGTGCGGGGGGGNGGGGGGGGGGGTGTTCCCGCGTGGCAGCGGTGGGGCGGCCAGGGCCAAGGGGGTCGGTTTTGCTTTAGGGCAGAGCAGGGCGCCGAAAATTTCAAAATTCTTGGCGTGGGGCCATTATTCCCCACCATGGCCCCGCATTGCTTCGTGTTGCGGGCGATCGGGGGCGCTGAAATGCCCATAGCTTTCTTTAGGTCTCCTAAGCGGGCGGCATCAACTCTAAAGCGGGCCTTTAACCCGCGATGGGGCGCACATTGTGCCCTTGTAATCCCGCGGTCTCCATTATGGCCCGTGCGGCGGCGCGGTGGGTTTCAGCGCAGCATTTATACCCCACAGGGGCAGCCCCAACCCCACGCCTTTACCCATTAACGCTCTACGCCGGAAGGTTGCCCATACCCTACCTACCAACGGCGCGCGGATGGGGAAGGGGGCCTTTTAATCGAATAAAGCCCCGGTCTCGCCAGGTATCGCGCCTGGGGGCCTGTGTGCGTCATCCGGCGGGTCCTTGGCTTCGTCGACTTCTCTGACGCTTGTGGGTTTTGAAGAATCAATTAAACGCCGCCTCTCTCATGGTAGGTTGCCCCTTGCCACCGTGAAAGCCACTGCTTAGTTTACGGTTTTTGCTTTGCAGAAGCTGGGTGAAAACAGCTTGCCTATCGTACGGGCCTCATGTTGTTGTTTGTAATTCGCCAATTGGATTCTCGTTCAGTTGAGCCGGGCTCGGCTTATTGACGCGTTGCGTTCCTCTTCGTGTCGAAATGGTTCCGGGTGATCGAAGTTCAACCATCGTCAAATCCAACGGATGCAAATAGTGCCTGCGTTGGCGCGTAGCAAGGGCGGCTGTCTCACCTCGCTGTGGGTGGCTGCTGTGGTGCTGCGGGGCCGTCAAAGAATGCTGTGACGCCGAAGAGTGCGGGCGGATTTTGTCGCCCCAGGGCTTCCCCAAAGACCACTGCGCCGCCGACTGCTTTTACAACTTTCCCGCGCCCACGAAGCCAACCACACTAACGCATTGGCGCCCAAAGCCCAACGACATAAATAGCACACGTTGCTTGGGGGGAATCTGTGAGTTCTGCGTGGCCCCCCAACTGCGCAAGCAACCGGGAGCCGAGGGCATCCTCGCGCGCCGCTGCTGCTACGTGGGTCTGGTCTTCTTTTTCACCCGAACACGCCATCACACCTTATGGGCGCAGCGGTTCTCTTCGCGCCGCTTCTTGCTAGCTCTGTTTTTTCTCCCCCTCCCCCTTCCATGATCTTCGGAACCGCGCCCGCCCCCTGGGAACTCTCCCGGGGGTGGTGCGTCTTGGTGCCCTGTTGGGGTCGCTATTCAAATTCGCTGGCTGTGCTTCAAAGCGCATGATTTTTGTGTTGGCACCGTGTGAATGTGGAACGGCAATTTTTTGGCAGAGCTGGCCAATGCCGTGCCACCCCGAAAGCCCACCAACCCATTTTGAGCGGCAGCGTTTCACTGGATATCGTCCATTCCGCTCTTAATATCGGACTCACTCGTTATGTGTGATTCGCAGCCGCCGTGTTCCGAAGCCCACCTGGAAACATTTGTGTGGGTCTTCGTCCTTGAGCCAAGAAAGTGAAGAGCACTATTGTGTACCGTGCGGCACTGTTTATTTTTTCAATATGAATCGCTGCTGCTTCAGGCTCAAGTTGGCCCATATGCGGTTTGCGATGCAATTGGCCTCAGCTCCCTGCTTCGCAATTTGCAGTTCTTGAGTCGGAACGGGAACAGGTACATTGTCACCCATTGTCGTCTTCATCGCGAGGACGCCCTCCATTCAATGTTTCACTTTCTCGCAAAAGGCCGTCCGTGTATAATTTAAACTTGCTTGTTCCTTTTGAAATCTATATTTGTTTTCCGTCATCGGTCCATTTCTATAAGAAGACTGTCCCAAGAAACGTATCATTCTCCCGCTGGAAGGGCGCTTTGTTCGGCCTGGCTGGCCTTTTTTACAGGAGCACACGGCACATGGTGTTGCAACACTCAAACTGCAGGCATCTGTAGCACGGCGCCCTGCTGGGAAAAGACGTTGTTGACTTCGCCTTCGTCTTCTGAGCCGCCTGTGGAAAAGGGTGCCCACTTTTAAGGGTTAAACAGGCACCTTGCGTACACCGTGGGTTTGCGCTCCGGTATCGTTTTTCCACCGATACCATGATCTGGAGTTTGTTGCATGGCTGCTTTTTAAAGTAAACGCAACTGCGCATAAACTTTTACTTTAAAAAAGCGCAGGCCCGGGAAAGAACGTTTCCCTAAACTTAACCGCCGGTACTGTGCAGCGTCGCCAACGTGAGAAAAATAACTCGGTATGTAGTGAGAAGGCGGCTTTATGATATAACCATTGAATTTAAATGGGGCCATCGGCTGTGCGAGTTTTATCCTCTGAACGCATCTTTCCTTGGTGATGCCGGCCGCCCCATTGCGGCAACACGGTCCAGCACCCCGTATTGTCGGGGGAAGCCAAGCGCCAGCAACGTTCG